TTTCATTTAAAATTGGAGCTTACCTTTTTTGTTGATTTAGCCCCCCACTTTTAATTTGCTTCCGACGCCCATGCCCTGGTCCTCTGCGTCTCCACAAGAAAAAGAAAATTGGTCCATTGTCCAAACTAGTAGTTCAAACCCAAACCCAAAAATCCTATTGGTCGGAGGATCTATTTTTTTTTCAAGCGCTCTTACTTACTCTTCTTTCTTTGACTACTCTGTAACGTGCCTGTTGAAAGCGTTGAGCTAAACCAATTTCACACTGTTCAATGCCTATATTATATCTAACTTTGCAAAAAAGGGGGGTAAGCATCCCTAAAACACACCCCCTTCCCGACGCCAATCTAAAAATCATAGTTATGAAAACCAAGTCATAAATATGTGTTTTTATGCTGTTGAATTTTGAACCGGTTTCATGATCAAAATTCCACGACCCGGCTCAATTTTCAACGGACTAGGGTCTAAATTCAACACCTTTGGTCTCACTATTCAACGTTGAAAAATGACCCCGGGTCAATTTTCAACCCGGGTCAAAATTCAACGTTACACCGGCGTAACCTTACGCCTGTCGTAAGTCCGGACTTAAAGGCCGAGATTTTTAACCGTACGGTTTTCTCAGGTAAGGGGAGGGACTAAATTTTACATGCGTGGCACCCCAAGGCACTGACGGTCGTGCAGACCGTGGGAAGCGCTAATCCCTATACACAAACAGTATACACAGGAAGTCCATGAGTATTACCTGTACAGCTTGTTGGCCCTATGTTCATCATTAATTAAATTAATAAATCTCGACACCGTAAATAAAAAATATCATAAGTAATAATTGATGATAATTATAAATTCCATAATTTCAGACTTATATCTAATATCATACAAGCAGAAATCTCACCGGTCGACTTTTGTTAAAAAATCTACGGTATGTACCTTAGTACATTGTATGTCACAGTAGCAATGACTTGAGTTCGTTGTTAAAAAAAAAATAATGAAACACAGGTAAAAATTCAAAAGTAAAATACTCATCCTTGCCTGTCCCTTTCAAAATCTTAAAAACTTTTCATATTTAGCAATTAGAGCTTCGATCACGTCAAATAGTAACAGTTACTTCCCGTTTGTATAAAAAGTCGCGTGGTCCTATTTTTAGCAAATGTACATTCTGTATCTTATTGTGAAAAATTCTCGATAATGATGGTTTTGTAAAGTTAGAATTACATACAAATATGTATGTATTTTGAGTAAATTCAGATAATAATTAAACAATTGAAAACAACAAATTAATTTAATACTTGCGTATTTCTTTCAAAACTATTTTTAACACCTGTGACCTTGAACGGAGGTAACAACCCACGTAGCAAGAAATGCTCGGTTATAAAAAAGGAAGAGAAAAGAAAGAAATTCTTAATATATTTAATACTTGTCCAGGCGAAGTTGTTACTAATTAGACATTTTGTTTTCAACATTACTATCCAATACATGCAAAACATGTTACCAGCTTATTTTCTCCTTTATGCTCCGTAATGTTTTCGCCGCGTCTCAGAACAAGAATCTTTTTACGACTGAAAACAGTCGCCTATACATTTTTCATTAGAAAAAATATACACACTCTTGATTTGCTGTATTGAAACACTATTATGAGATCATTTTCATTTTATGATGAAATGTTTGTAATAAAGATAATCATACTCAATTATAATCAAGTTAAAATTGTTTGTATCGAAATGGCTTCCTCATTACGATAGTGATTTAGCGGTAAACATCTGAAGACTGAAAGTTAATTTGATGGTGGCCACGCGTGTCAAACAAGGTGAAGAGAGATACACAGGGACTAGTAGCTAAATGTCAATCAATTTCAAGTACCCAATGATGGACCTTAATTTATTTGATTGACAGGGGGATACAGACCAGGTAAATCTGAGGGTGGTGCTTATTATCTCGGGCTTTAAGTCAAATATTTGGACTGAGGTCCGTTTCACTAAAAGGCGTAACTTTGCGCCCGCCTTTAAAAGACAAAAATCTACGCCTATAGCCAAGGGTAGTCGTAACTTATGGCGTAAACAGGAATGGACTGCTAATTCTGTTGCCGAGGGTATCGGGGCTGACCGTAATGTTAAATTGTACAATTTGTCATGTAAATTTTATTAATTCCATATGAAATTAAGAAAACAGAAAGTTTTGATAGGTGGTACCAATTCTCGAATAGAAACTTTCTTACCATGCATATATGTTTTATGCACATTCTTTATATTTGCACTTGCCGTTTACATGTTAAAATGCCATATTTAGATACTCGATATGGTTTTCATTCGATTATTTTTAAATTTTATCCAATAATTTGATTTACGTTTCATATTTAAATAAATTGGGCAATGAATAATGCAAAATATATACATACATGATGTACATGTAATACAAAGGTATATTTGCATAAGAAATGTCTAGCATTTCAAGCATTTCATCCCCCTCCCTAACTTCCGCGCATAATATGTGTGAGCATGATATTTTGAAATTTAAATATCACTAAGTGAATTATTGACTTTATATTTTCCTCTTTTTTTATTTCATTTTTTGGTGAGTAAAAGGTGTTAGCTTAGGTAGTTAAACTAAGGTTAATCACAAAAGTAATATCAGTATTGTTAAAATGTAAATACAATCTGTCGATCTGCTGACCTGTCGACCTGTTTACCTGCTGACTCGTCGACCAGCTGATCAGTCTACTAATCTCATTTTAATTCGCTAACCTGCTGACCTGTCGACCTGCTTACCCATTGACCCGCTAATCAATCTTCCAATCTCACTTTAATTCACTCACCTGCTGACCTGTACACAAAATTAATTATCTTACCTGCTTCGCATCGTATTAAAATGCTTAAACTCCGCGGTCCCAACTCATGTTTTACAGCATCACTGTCAATTCATCCCTAATTATCTGGTACATTTATGCAAATTACGATAATCAATATTCAAGTAATTTTACAAAATGTACACTCATTCAAATCTATGTCAAATTTGCAAATAAATGCGCAATTTCCGGAACTGCTGCAATGTATAGTGTACTTGAGCTGGGCAAGAGCTCTGTTATTGCTGATGTTTTCGATTCACCGGGTGCGTTCAGTTGTCAAAGTCTGCTCATCACACCTGCACGGACTGACAATATACTGTGTGTATGTTTTGCTTTCAAACATTTCTACTCTTAATTTTCTGAATTATAGTTTTAATCTTTTTCATTAATACACAACAAGATTGCCACTTTTCGTAAGTATTAAGAATAAAATTAAAATTTGTGAAAGTGCAATGATGTGTCAATCAAACCCGTCTAAAAATTTGAAGTTTTAATAATATTAGATGATTTAATTAAATCAGGGGCTTGTTTAACGATTGCATCTGCATGCAAAAGTTGTATTATGGGAGTAATGAGTGTTTTCTGGCGATCGTTTGTGACAATTATTTTTATATTTTTAGTCTTCATGAAAATTCATGAACATTCATTAGGCCAAAATAAAAAATACTCTTGTTTCCTGTCAGCTGACCTACCCTACATTTTACCCTCCGACCCTAAAAGTTTTTATCACATTTTCATTTTTTGGGTGACTATTTTCCTGAAATGCTAAAGTCGACCAACAATATTCAAAGAACTAATACATCACAAGTGTACAGGATACCTTTACTTTATAAAGAAACTTGCTCTGTAAACTGTTAACATATTGGTTTCTTGTTATTACATGCTATATGTTTTGCATTCATTGAGTTTTGGAAATAAAATTTTTTCTCAAAATAAAATTTTTTCCCTACCTACCTACCCTAATTTGTTTGGTCAGGGGACAGGAAACAAGAGTATTTTTTTCTTTTGGCCTTACCTTGAACTATTAAGTTTTTTCTTTAAACTGAAAATTACCAATATTCATATTTGTTCATCATTTGTTCATGAACTATGAATTATGAATGTTTTCATGAATTTTATTCATGAACTACTTTTATGAACCTGTTAAGAATCCTTTAAGAACCATTCATGAACAATTATGAACAACTCATAAAGGTTCTTAAAATCATGAATATCATTTCGCAGGGGAAATAAGATTATTAATTTATTTTTGTGTGAAATGCTATTAAGATATATAAGTTGTAAAATTATACAGATAATATTAACTTCAAATCTGGTTCCATGCACCTTTAATTGCATATACTTCAATTAGCATTATAGAATCCCAATCTATTGTAAGAACTAAAACATTATGTAGAATTGTTTAGATAAAGGTAAAGACAAAAATCTGCTCAAAAGCTAAGGAGCAAACCTCTTGAAGACCTGTGTAAGAGGGATATGGAGATAACGAACAGTATTCTATCTCAAAGTCAATAAAACATACAAAATAGGAGCAGAGCAAACGCGAACCTCCGAAACATCAGGGGTGGGATTAGGTGCCATGGAGGAGTGAGCATCCCCCTGCTGACCGGTCACACCCACCGTTGCTCCTTGTCATGATCAGGAAATAACGGGAAAATCCGTCGTAAATTCAATGTATAAATAACGGACTAAAATTAGTATGAAAAACGTCAGTCAGCATTTGACTCAATGATAAATTATATTTGCTGACAAGGTCATCGTATCGACCATAACTAAGTATCAAAATTAGTTATTTAAAAAAGAGATAAACAAACTAGAAAAATTCTTTACTTCTTTTCTTATAAAATTCCATCCGTCATATTGATTAGAAAGCACTGGGTAGTTTAGATTTAAGTTTGACAAATAAGGGAACTTAGGGGATAATGTGGAACCAAAATATATGGTCAAAGTTAAACATAGAAATAGATAAAGGAATTGTACATGAAAGAATGCATGGTTAAAGAAACTCGTGTGAGCGTCATTGCCCATCGGCCTCTGTTTTTGTTGCTTCGATCAACTTTTTGACACGCCATATGTCATTACTGCAAATATAGACTTCGATTTTATTGAATGATTTTCTCTTTAAAAATAAGAGAAGATGAACCATTTTGACAGATTACTTCAAAGAAACTTCCAAAGGTTAGTACACTTGCTCTGATATTTTGCCTTTTCCGTATTTATCGTCCGTTATCACCACTCTGTATATTATTATTATTTAAAAGCTCAAATATTCGTGGGAGATGATATTTCGTTTATTTTGTTGTTAACAGTTTTCAACGAAATTAAACCCCACACGAAATTTATTAAGAATGTGCAGATATATCTGAATGTGAGATTTAAGTAGGAATCCATATGAATGCCTAATAGCGACATGGCATGACCAAACAAGCATGAAAAACATAATTTCTCAGAGAAATTCCCTTCTAAAATACAATAATACATTATCCGTACGCACCAAACACCTTAATGCAAAATTCCATCTTCTATAACTGAATGTAAAAATGTGCTTTAAGCTGGTTTAATTTTTTATAACTTATTTTCCAATGAAATTAAAGAGCTACTAACACACGGCCAGGAATACGATTAAGTTCCTGGACAGTACCGTTGTCAGAAACCTTTATTATTGAGCACTGAAAATGTTTCGTTGTCATGAACATACAGGTGAGGTCATGATAAAATCCTTACGTTGTCATTACCTAAGAAGACAAGAATGGTTTTCCTGGGTTGAAAAATGTCAATGTTAGGTTAACTCTAAAATAATGTTTGTTTGCCCTTTCCCGTCTCAGGATCAATAGGAAGGTAAAAAACTACGTTTAAAAAAATTTCAATGATAAATTTTAAATATCTTGTGTTCAGAATACTGGAAGTCAAAAAAAAAGATTTGAGTCAAGTTTTAGCTAGTCGGTCGGGAGAGGGTAACCATACAATTTTTATAAAGATGGCGTTATGCAGTTTTCATACAATATGCTTTGTTTTCTTTTAGATCGAATATTTTTTATCATTGCTGTTGCATATCATTGATAAACTTACATGTTAGGAAAAATGACACCGGACCAGATGAACTTAACATGTACTGATAATGATTTTTTTTCTAACAAATTGCGATTTCTAAAAGGATGTTATCTATAAAAGGCTGTCAGTTGCATATTACTTTTAAAATTCAGGTTTTCTTCTTCATATTTTTAAATGAAAAAAAAACTGTTTTGATAAATTAAACAAAATAACTATTTGATTTTCCAGCTGACGACCATGGCGTCACACATGGCCATGTGATCACCAACCAAAACTTCTCAAAATGTATTATGGATATCAAATACTAGTACACCAATTTTTTTTGGGAATACTGAATATTGTATTTCTTTCCTTTAATTTAAATTCATTCTTAGAAATTGTCAAAAACGTCATATTTTAGGCACTATATGTATAAATTTTTGTATGTTCTTAATGACAACGGACGAATTTTATCATTACATCACTTGTAAGTTCATGACAACTAACCATTTTCAGTTCTTATCTTTCAGGGTTTTTTAAAACAGTACTGTCTAAGACCTTAACGTGTTTCTGGCAGTGTAATAGTGTTCCTTTTAATCTTTTGAAACCCCGAGCTTTGAATTTTTCCACTCCAAGAAGCATCATTGCTTTGAAAAAAAAATGGTAAACGCAAGTGAGTTCTTAAAGTTTCTCGCTATATATCGAAATTCACCCAATAACATACATTTCCTGAGAAGACTTATGAATGCTTGTGTCAATAAATCTTGCATAAATTTTAAAATATTTAATAATACACTTTTTAGTTTGTTCACCTATTTTGAGTAGGTTGTAATACAATCTCGTTGTGTTTTAGATTTCTTGTAAAGATGTCAACTCTATCTGTCTTCTTAGCATTTGTCCTTGTATCAACTGTACAAGGTTATATCTTGACCAGAGGTGAGGTCTTTTTACCCTGAGGAAACAAACATGTTTCTCTGTTTGTTATTTATATATTTTTAAACTTTATTTTTCTTACCTATTAGAAGAATAAATAAGAAAGATAGCCGTACAAACGTACATATTGCAAGATAGTTTCTGTCTTCTAGCATAATTATGCTTTAGGAAAGCAAGAATGGTCTGATATAAAACAAATAAAAATGTTTTTTACATTTTTAAAAATATGATTTTAGATTGCCCAAAAGGATGGGTATTATATCGTTGGAATTGCTACCTATTTTCCGAAGAAAAAGTAAATTTCAAGCAGGCAATGGTGAGCACAATACATGTAGCATCTCAAAAGAGATGTCTTGTAAAAACGAAGGTCTTTTTTCTATTTTAAAACTTAAGATGTAAATTATGTATTTTTAAAGTGTTATATTCAATGTAACATGTTCATTGGTAAAAGAGAATAATAACGTATCAACTTTTCAATTCCCGATGATCTATTTTTTAGCATTTTTTTAAATCTTCATTTTAAATATATGCTTGAGTTAGGCGAAGATATCGAAAAGTGATCCACTTCAGAAACTCTTTTTGAATATTTGTGAAAAGGCGTTAACACGGACCTTGATAATTCTAGTGAGGGAATCAGGTGCCTTAGAGGAATTATCATCCTCTATCGATTGTTTACATTTGCAGTGATTCATTAGTAAATTATGTACTGTAGAAAACAAAGACCTACTACTTTGTATGAGCTTACACATGTAAGATGATCGTATTCAAGTGAAACATTATTAAGGATCTTAATTAAAAAGTAAAAATAATTATTATATTTATGTATAATTACTCATTAGGTAATCAATTAAAATAGTTTTTTTTTCTTAAAATACAAAATAGATAAAATGTGCGGAAGCAACAGGAGACGGTCGACTTGTTCAAGTACATGATGAAGAGGAAGAAGAATGGCTCCAACTTCAGTTTATGCTGAGAGGTACAAGTTTCTTATATGTTCTTTTATAATGTGTTGTGTAGGGGTCAGCCTCTGGATATCATGCCGACAATAGTTTTATGTTTAATTATTAATCTCATTTTAAGGAATGGAACGTGTATGGATGGGCGTTTCGGACATAATAAAGGAGAATAAGTTTCTCAAACTCTCCAACGCTGAAAACATTCAATTCAACAACTGGGGTTCAGGAGAACCAAATAATTCCGGTAAGGAGCATTGTGTTGAATGGAAGGATGGCAAATGGAATGACCTGTCATGTGAATCAAAGAACGGGTTTGCTTGTGAACGACCGTTATTCATGTAGATTAATACAGAACATGCAAAACAAATTCTGAGAGCGAAATTGTAAATGTACAAAAAGAAATAAATAAATTCCAATGCATCGATTCTGCTTGCTTGATGTATTTATTTCTGAAAACATTGGAGCATAAAGCATAAAATTACAATAAAAGATTGTTTAATTATGAAATCATAGCATTTTTAACATATGTTACGTGATGTAAGAGTTTTAGTGATCTAAAGACCACTGTCGTGTGAAAAATGTAACTGCAGTATTTATGCTGATTCACTATAGTTTGTTATTAAAGGAATAATCCTTTAATTTTTCAAATAAATGTGAAAGTATATAAGCTAAAACCAATGAAAATGTTGAGTTTGGACAATAACATTAAGTCGGACTGAGAGTTTTTTTTTAGAAGAGTAATAAAAAGTACGCTTTTAATCTTCGTAATCCTTTGTTATATATAGCAAAATTGTGAATGGGAAAGTAATCTCAATGAAATGTATTAATATTGCCTACATTCTCTCATAAACATTTATTTCTTCGTTCTCTACTTAAATAAACGAATTGAAGTTCATTTTAATGGACACAATATCATATTCACTTATTTCTTATTTTTTTAAATGACTCGATTATAACTGAAAACTACAGAGAAAGTAATCTGAATATCAATTATGGTGTCATTAAGGCTTTTTAACTTAAAACTCTAAAAAAAAAATTATTAGGTCTTATTAGTTCTTGATTGTAATTTGAGAAAATAGAGGAATGATTTGAATTCATTGCAGCTTCTTAATTTATACGGTATTAATGAGTTTGGTGAAGCTTACTCAAGTTTATACAGTATATTTATTTCTTATTTAATGAAATACATAGAGATACAGAACAGTATTCGAGCTCAAAAGTCCATTCCAGTTGTTCAAATCAGAAAAAGCGCAAACACGGACCTCAAAAACAACAGGGGCCACTTTTACAAAAGAACTTACGGCTAAGACCAAAAACTTAAGTTAGTCGTAAAAATTGCAAAATTAATGATTCTGTTTCAAATTGCTAGTGTAAAAATATCATTCTGCATTTATTTTAAAAAGATTAAAACTATTTTCAATATAATTTTATTTAGAAAGTTATATACATAATAAAATTTTTGTCTTGGTCATAAGTTCTTTAGTAAAAGGGACCCCGGGTCCTTACGTTATTAGGCTTCCTTGTTAGGTTACCATTTAAGGGGCCTGGACACAGTTTCAACTGGGTTTTTAAAACCAATTTTAATGTTTACAATTCCTACCTAAGGCATAATTTAATGATTAGCAAATATTTGAAAATCATTTGTTGATTAACAAACAAGATACCGAACTTAAAATTCTTCATAATGTGAACAAGGCTCTTTCCTTGTTTTTGTTTACATATAGAAAATATCATATTTATGTTCCCCAAACGGAGTTTGGGAACATATTGTTTTTACTCGGTTTCTTATTATTATTATTATTATTATTATTATTCTTTTTTTTCTTCTTTGTTCTCCGGTACTTTTTTGTCCGCGAGTGTTCTCAGAAACTGTTCACCCAACTGAGCTAAAACCTTTTTAGGGTTAATAGGTGTGTAGTGTAGGTGTGCAACACGAAGGTTATTTTGCGCGCATACGCATGCACGTGCAGGCGCGTGAAATGAGTGAAATGACGGATATACTTTATATAGCCATAACTTTAACATTTTTTGATGAAATATTTTAAAACTCATTTAATAAGGATATATTCATAGTGTAGATAATGTGACACTGTCAAATTAGCACGAACTCACGCGCATGCACGTGCGCTTCGCTCTGATTGGCTGAAACAGAAATCTCAATATCTTTTCTGTTTTTTGACAAAATGCTATGAAATTTAAAATATAGGCATACTTTAGGATGTACTACAATATGATATATAACAATTGTCATGTAAACACGCGCATGCACGTGCGCTGCAATCTGATTGGCTTAAACTTTAAATGGCTATAACTCCCTTGTTTTTCAACGAAACAGTATGGGATTTAGAACATAGACAAACATAATGGTCTCCCACAAGGAGGTATGGTCGTCATGCACAGGCATGCACGTGCATGCACGTGTGCTTTGCTGTGATTCGCTGAAACAAAAATCGCAATATGTTTTTTTAATTTTTGACGAAATGCTTTAAAATTTTAAACATAATCATGCATTAGGATGTCCTACAATATGATATATAACAGTTGTCATGAAAACATGCGCATACGAGTCATTTTCAAAAAATGTCCAAATTCCACCACCAGAATTTTGCAAAAATAAATGCGGCGATCTAAACTTTTTAAAGTTTTATTTTAGCATTCAAACATCAGAGATGCATAAACCATGTTAAAGCACAAAGAATTCTATTAACATATACTAAAAAAAACATCATATGTACATGGACCCAACAATAAATGTCCATGGAGTTACTTAGTTAAAAGTCGTAGTAAAATCATAACTTACAAAAAAAATTAAGGTTTTTAGAATAACAATCTCAACATCTTGATAAAATTATTCTTTTGAATCAAACTGAGGTTTCATAACAGAAAATTATCAGATAAAGTAAAGCTGGAAGTTGTAAGTATTGTAACTTTTGTCTATATCTTACACGTTTACTTAAAGCATACATCATTTACCTCAGCACAAAATACTTGCTTTGCATATAAACTTAGTATTAGAAAACGACAGTATTTTGTTGCAAGTTTCGATAAAATTGTATAAAGATTTAGAACATAAATATAGGGAAAATGTGTTGGTAACACCAAGGATATTTAAATAACACAAAGGACATAAAGGTAACACTAAGGATATTTTGTGCAATACATAGAAAGAAAATAATAAAGTCGTTCCCCTTCCTTCCAAAAAGGATAGTAATGAAATTACCCTAGAGGTGAATATAAGAGTATATGGTTTTAAGATAAAAAATGGCGGGGGATTTCTTTCATTTTATATTGTGAGTCTGACTAGTAACACCAAGGATAAAACAGTAACGACATAGACATAGCTATCCAATCATAAAAATATATGATAATAGAAAAATGAAATCAAATTCTCATGCGCGAATAAAAAATGATTACTATCACATAACATTGAATAATTGATCAGTACTTGTTAGTGTATTTACATATCCCCGCAGAAGCTGTAACACCAATGACAAAAAATAACACAAAGGACATCTTTAAAAGATCCAAAGGTTTACACAGATGAGTATTAAATCAGCTAGAACAATTTTTAATGAAGAAAAAATTATGAAAATAGTACATATACATGTATTTGTAAATGACCAGATTTCAAACATATAGGATGCATTAATCTTTTTATGGATTTTACACTTTCATTTCATTTATCTACAGCTAGCCTCTTTCCACAATGAGCTCTCTATATGAGCCTCATCGGATAGAAATCGACCTTATCGGCAAATTTTATGATTTTTAGATTTAAGTATATTCTAATTGCCGTGGCTGTAAGTAACTGAAATCAAAAAACCAAATATCGATATCTTGAAAAATAACAAAGATATTCAAGTTTAAACATCACATGTTTGAAGAAAAATCATGATAATTTATCGCTTTTTTGTGACGTCACAATACAGAATGAGTTTAATAATTATTTCACATTCAATACTACTTCATTCACAACAGAAAATCTCTGCAAAAAAGTATAAAATTTAAACTTGATTCGTATGTACTTGTCAATTTAGATTGATAAGCATCGATCAGGGACCAGAAATTGAATCACTCCTCGTCTGGAGCCGGACATGTTACGTCTTTGTACGGCGCTTTTACGTAAGCTCTGATCTCATTGAAAAGGTAATTTCTTCTTTCAACTGAGAGTCCAGCTGGAGCAATCACCTCTGGAAATCCACTGACGACTTTATCTATGTTCACCTTCTCTTTTAAAAGATTTACTCGCACTTCAGGGCCTTCAAGCGTATTTCTGGCATAAACAACACCTGGTTCTTCTGCAGAAAAGCGGAAGTGATGGAATTTTCCGATGCCTTTTAAAGGTTTAAAGTACGCGTTGAAGAAAGTATCCCATCCAAACCATTGTAATCCGTTAACCTGTCCTCCATATCGAACCGCGGTGTTGCATTTTGCAGAATTTTCAACCACTGCTTCCAGTTCCTGTATACCATTAACCTCCGACCTGCGGAATTTCTTCTTAATCATGCCGAAACAGGAATCACATAGACATTTTGTGTGTCCAGCAATCATGAAATGTAGCTGTATTTCTTTGTGTCGACCTGTGCAGCATCGCCATGCCAAATAGTGCAAAGTAGTTTTATTTTTATTTTGCCCTACGCAGTTGTCAGCATGGAGATGACAGGCTATCTCTCCATAGCTATTGGCATTCAAATAGTGATGCACCATCTTTAGAACTGCATTCGGCCCGTGCGTTTTGCTTCCATTTATTCCAATTGTTTCATTCTCATCGATTAGATAGTTTGTCTGCATAGGGAAATTCTCATCACAAACTCCAAAAATTTGGATTCTTCTCGATTGGAGGAAGAAGAGAGCACCGACTTGCTGAGATGAATGTGGTACAGTAACGTATTGTGAGAAGTCAAACGTGTAATGGACGTTGGTGAAGGGCATGGAACAGGGCTGCAGGAATTTTCCATGAGGTTTTTCAAAATGTTTCAGTTCGACTCTTGCATTTTCTGTACATAGTTTGTAAAAATCACGTTCCCGTTTCGCCTCTTTTACATGAAGTAAAAGGCGTTGTGTCAATTGTAATTTGACTTCTTCTCCGAAGGCACCAGATATATCTTCCCTGAGATCGTGGCAAGTCTTACATAGGTCTGTTTTCGGCTTGATAAACTGTATGTACGGAACACAGGAGTTCCATGCTCCTTTGAAAGTTGTTAATTCCATGTAAGGACTTCCAGTTTCCAAGCAAGCCTCCTTATATTTCATGTGAATCGACATTTTACTTTCACTGCATGGTAATAGAACTGGTGGCGTGTTATCACGGGCTCTTGGGGCAGCAGGTAAAGGCAGCCCAAACTGATCTGCATATCTCTTCAAAAACAAAATAGCAGCTTCCACGACAGCAAATGGATGCCCATGGTTGGATTTTTTTCCTACTAGTCCATGAACACGTGGAGTTGCGCCGTTTTCCTTCAATTGCATTTTCAAATTTTTGAATTCTGAACGCCCAATTTCAAATAAAGATCTCCATGTACTCTCGCAGATTTCCACTCCCTGAAAACAATAATGAAATCGTTGCCTTTGTCGTTTCCCTCCGTTGATGTTGTCATCTGTAGTAATAAGTTGGTCTTCTAGTTTGGACAGAATGTAAACGTCTCTCTCACTCTTTGTATACTCTCTTAGCCTCAAAATCTGTATGTAAGCCTGTTCTTTGAATGAGGAAATTTTACCAAAACAATCCCCAGAGCACCCACACCCGCTTTCAAAAATTCTATCTATGTACTTCCTCTC